AAGAGGCAATATCTGGGAAATCATGATCACACAGGATCTAATGCAGAGGGTGAAGTTTCCAAATGAGAGGATAAGAAGGGATTGGCCAAATTCCTCACAGATGGGAGTAGGGGTAGGGATGGGTAGGGTAAGGCCCTGATGAATATTTGGGAAAAGTAGATAATACAAGGTAATAATTAAGAACTCAGTTTCTGGAGTCAGGTGTTTGAGTCTCAGCTGTGTAATATATAGCTATGTAACTCTCAGTAATTTAAACCCTCAGTTTCCACGTCTATGCAACACCTACTCTCTGTCTCATAGGTCTCAGGAACTCACAGGCACACATGGTTGTAGTTGGCACCTATAAATGTGACCTACATAATCTTGGTGGGGGATAGAGTGTGGTGTCTGGTCAAGGAGACCTCTTCAGGGCAGAATGGAAGAGGCTGTCCTCTGCCATACTTTTTCTCTGGGGATAATGTCCTTGGGAGAGGTTCACTAAAAACCTCCAAGAGTCTGGGGATTAAAAAGTGACCCAAAGAAGTTCAGGGGGCTGTTGTTTTAATTTTTACTTTGGGACTAAGCATGAGTAAAACTTTGCATCCTTCTTGAAATGTACCCTGTCCATTCTCTGTACCTTAAATTAAAGTTAAAAGTATTTAAAATGCCTATTTAATACTTAAAAAGCTTTATAGAAAATTACACAGACAACCATCTTACCATGAATATAATTATATGTATATATTTCTTTCCATGAATACAATTATATGTATATATTTCTATCATTTTCTGATCATTGTCAATGTGCACAGTTTCTCATAGTTTTATATCATAGAGCACATAGATTACAATTGTTCCCATGTGTCACTGTATACGTAGATCCTCATAGATTTAACATGACTGTAATTGTATACACAATTTCATACACTTGTCTTTTATATTATCATTCAATTCTGAAACATATAATTAGCAATTGCTCCTAGATAGCTTATGTGGAAAGACAGTCTTCAGTTTGTAGTTCCAGCTTTCTTGTGAAACCTATCATACTTTAGGGCTTTGAATCTTAGGATTCATGAAAGTTTTCGTTTAAAAGTGAAAAATGAAAAGACTCTGTAGCAGGGACTTCCCTGGTGGCGCAGGGTTTGATCCCCGCCTGCCAGGGTTCGATCCCTGGTCCGGGAAGATCACACATGCTGCGGAACAACTAAGCCTGTGTGCCACAACTATTGAGCCTGCTCTCTAGAGCCTGCAAGCCACGATTGCTGAGCCTATGCACCACAACTACTGAAGCCCGCATGCCTAGAGCCTGTGCTCCGCAACAAGAGAAGCCACCGCAATGAAAAGCCCGCGCACCACAACGAAGAGTAGCCCTCGCTTGCCACAACTAGAGAAAGCCCACACACAGCAACGATGACACAATGCAGCCAAAAAAGAAAAGAAAAGAAAAGAAAAAAGACTCTGTAGCAGATTGTGCTCCCGAATATCTGTAATCCCCCTTTTATATAGTAATAGAATTGTAGTTGGGTATATGGCTGCCTAGCACAAGGTTATATTTTTGGGCCCCCTTTGCTGTGGAGACTGTGTGGTTGCAGGAGGTGAGTAGAAGGAACAGATGCCTTGATAGAATTGGGTACTCCCTTCATATTTTCTGTCTTGCTGGTGGCAGGGAGCAGCTACTCTAGACCCAGAGCCAGAAGTGAAGTCCCATGTCGAAGATGGCAGAGCCATCTTACCATGTCTGGATGGTTAACATTCTCTCTTATTTAAGCCATTTTATTCATGGGTGGTCCAGTCTTTACTCTGATATACCACTTTCCCATTGATTGTTTCAGGTAAGACAGTTTTAAAATATACCCTCATTCTGAAAAAGCCCAAAAGTTTTGCTTTGTTCCTCACATAGTGTTTGCTAAGCTATTTTTGTCTCCCCACTTGTGGTTGGTCACATGTTGGTAAGTGTTTCATTTTACTGGTGACACCTATGCCCTCCTATGTGTTCTGTGCACAGAGCTGTATTCTAGGAGGAATGGCTCCTGCCACTGGGGGTTGGATGTATTCCAGGAGCTCAGTGTTGGTCATCCTGTATTGCACACGTTTAATATTACACAGAAGTAAGCATTAGAAAAATGTCAGGATGTGGCAGAATAAAAAGACTGTTAGCTGAGAGCTAGCTGGAGGCAAGATCCCAAATCCTGTAAACCGATGGTAGTAATTGTAGTAGTAACAGAATTCTGCAAACACCAGCCCTACCTTCCTCTCCCAACTGATACTCATTGTTCCCAGATCACATCTTTTACTGAAAAGTAGAAGGAACCAAAGGAAAGTAAATTTTATTGGACACCTTAAGATTTATTGAGAGGTTGTGCAAAACAGTGATTAAGAACTTGGGGACTGAGGTCAGATATATCAGGGCTCAAATTCCAGCTTCATGACTTATTAGCTGCAGGGTTTGGTAAGTAACTTAATCTCAGTGTCCTCATCTGCAAAGCTGAGATAATAAACCAACTTTGAAGTTTTCTGGACATTAAATAACATATCTAAAGTCTGGAGTGGATTAAAAAGGAAGTTGATAAATGGTCATTAACATTATCTGTTCTGTTCCCATTTCTTGATGTCAAGTGCTTTACATACTTATGCCATCAACCCTATAAAATGGGCATAACGTATTAAAAAACAAAATTTAACTGAGTAAATTTGAAGATCTAATTGGCTTTATGAAATCTAGCAAACCAAGAGCTACTTGGAGAGGTTACACAACAAAGAAGGCTTTTATAGTAAGGAGGGTGGGAGAAGGAAAAGAAGTTATTAACAAAGAAAAAATAAAATTTCATTGCAGTAAAGTAAAAGGTCAGGTGACACTGGCTCCTCATTGGCTGAGCTATGGTGTTTTCTATTGGCTGGGCTTGTTGCTGGGCAAGAAGGAAGTTTTCCTTCCTCCCCAGTGGTAGTAAGTACGAGTACTTCCTGTTTGGGAGTGCAGGATACTTCCTGGGGTAAGTAACTGACCAGCTTCCTTTTGGGGTAATTGTCCTCTTCCTGCTTGGGGTAATTGACAATGAATGGTAGGATGTAAGAGTTCCCTCCATAGGCCTTCCAGACTCCTATTTTAGTTGCGGTTTCCTTTTATTAATTTTCACACATACTTATGCTGTCAACCCTATAAAATGGGCATAATCCTTCCCATTCTAAAGATGAAGAAATTGAAGTTAAAGAATTTCTGAGGTGAAATAGATATCATATTAGTTATTTTGCAGATGAAGACATGGAAGCATGGAGTGTTTAAATAACTCATGGATGTCTCAAAGCAAAGCAATTGTGGAGAGACGATCCAAAGCCATGTCCAACCTGATATTTGGCAATTCTCTATTAGTTGTCACCCCTGACAGGTTGTCACAGTCATGGTGATATTTGTTATTTGCACGAACTTTCAAGAATCAATTTTCTTCACAGATGGGCATATCCACATGACTCCTTTCAATAAAGACCAGAGTCACAACTCTTAGGGAAGAAGCAAGTGTCCCTAAGTGGTGTTTTCTCAACTGGCTCTGTGCTCATCAAAACCATAGGCCATCCTTCTTACTCTGATTTCTAATATAACATAAACAATGTATGATTAGCCTTCTGCAGTTGTCCTAATCAATCACAAGTATTTTCTGAGGTTATATTATTTCAAACAGTACTGTGTCAAGTGTTCTGTAAATCCTTTATTTGAATTTACAATCTATTGATGAGCCAACATAAAGATATCAAAACAATTAGCAACTAATACAAGGGAACAGTAATTAAATATTTAATTAAATAGCTATTGATTAAACAATAAAATATTAAATTAATATTTAAAAATTAAATATTTAAACAGTAAATAAATATTGCAATTATTGCAGTAGTTGAACTGTAAATAGAATTCTGAGTTTCTTAGGAGAAAAAGTGAACATGATTATAAGAAAAGGGGAAAGATACAAGAGGAAGCAAAGTTTTTCCTTGTCTTCAACTTCAAGAGATTTCACAAGTGGCACTTTACAGAAGATAGAATAAAAGATGCCCTCAGCAACGTTCTCACAGGAGACACAGAAATGGAACCCAATTGCCTTTTTCTTTTCATTTTGGATAAAGCTGAGGGTCTAACATTGGAGGAAGTTTTGCTTAATACTCAAAAATGTAATCAGTGCACAACAGCAGAAATTTGTGTGGCAGTGGGAATATTCTCATAGCAGCATGCTTTTCAAACAATATTCCCAAACACGCCTTTTCTCCGTTGAGATTTGATAAAAGCTAGGTAGGAGAAAATTGTATACAGTGTGCTTTGATGGCCACCTACACTCTGAGTTGATATTCTGCGTTTCTGGTTGAGGGAAGGGCCTCTGTGCTCTAAATCCCACCTCAGCATAAGGTTTGGCTGAGCCTCTTTGTTAAGATGGTGGTTCCTGATTAGGATTAGACTCCGGGACGGGCCGTGCCACCTGCTTGAGTTGGTGGGCTGAGGACCCTTGTTTTTATTGGCTGTTCTTACTACTTTCCTGTACTCTGTATGGTAAGCCTCATGTATGTTTATAGGCATGTTTAACCGATAACCCTTGGCCCTTATATATATGAGTAAACCGGAGTCCCACGCAGAGCTGCTACCCTGTCAGCCAAACCTGAGACCAAACATTTTAGTTCACCTTTGCCGCTAACTCATGACCCCAGGGCATGGCCCAGGGAGTGTAGGGAGGCGACTCTCTCCGGGGAGTTCTTATAGAATATGTTCCCCCTAAAATATTCCACAGCCTTGGAGAATTACTTTCTCCCTTCCTTTGCTGTACAAGCCATTACACCTCCTGTCAGGCAAGGGAGGCCTGAGAAAGTGGAACCTGGAACGCTCTGTCATCGGTGTTGGGCGGGGCGAGGGTTCGGGGGCGGAGCCTGGCGCGAGCGGGAGGTTCTAGGGGCGTGGCCGGGCGGGGCGAGCTGGGGGCGGGGCCTGGGCATGCCCTGCGGCGTGCGGGGGGCTGGCCTGCGCGCGGCGGGGGCGGGGCAGCAGCCGCAGGCTCACGCCGTAAACAGTCAATATGGCGGCGGCGGCGGCGGCGGCAGCGGCAGCGGCACCCGGGGCCTTGGGTATCTTGCAGGCCCGCCGCGCTCGCTTGGTGGCCGCTTGCTGTGCGCGGCTCAGCCCTGGGTGGAGGCTGTCCGGCTCCTGGACGGTCCCGCGGGTCGACCCGGCGACCTGGGCTCGGGGCTGGACACCCGTGGCCGGGGGGGCGGCCTGGCGGAGGGGCTACAGCTCTGAGGTGAAGACGGAGGACGAACTGCGGGTGCGGTACCTGGAGGAGGAGAACCGAGGTGAGGGGCGCGACGCGGGCGGCCGCCGGTCCTGGGAAGGGGTTGCAAGGTCGAGTGTCCGGGCTGACGTCAGTGTCCGCCGAGAGGCTTGGGGGCCCTTCCCCTCCCCCTCCCAAGCGTTGCAGCTATATAGTGCTCTCCTTGCCTAAAGGTGTCCTACGGAGCAGCTTACCTGTAAAAGTGGCCCTACTCGGCGCCGAAGACAGAAATGCGGCTTACGTCCTCATCTCTAGACGAGCCAAGGTCAATAAACGGGTGTGTGATATTTGCTTCCAGATTTTGTTCTTGCTCTGTGATTCCTTTCTGTCAACTCAGCTATCAGGCGGAGAGTTTTGGAAGCTGCCTTGACAATGCACCTTATTATTCTGAGTCTTCTTCAGTTTAAAGCGGTGCATCTGGAACAATTTTTCCCCTTGCCCATTTTATCTTAGAAGGTTAGTTTTGTGGACTATTTCAGTTCAGTTAGACAATTTTGAGCATTTTCTTGGTCTTCCAATTCCCTTGCTAAGCTCTGGGGGACACAGTTGTGGATGATGTTGATCTTGCCCTTGAGCTACCTCCTTGGGTGGAGGTAGATGCATTAGCAGTACAATACAGTGGGAGGAAGGGTTGTGATAGAAGATGTGTGCCAGTCGGTGGGATTGCTGTTAAAGCTCAATTCCTTTCACTTGGCCTTGTTGGGAGACGTTAAATGGATCATGAAAGGTGGAAATAGCAGTTTGCCAGAAGAGTAGTCATTGAATTTTGACATGCAGTTATTGAGCACCTATAATCGGTTAAGCAGAAGTGCAAAACGAGTTAAGTCATGATTGCTGTCTTTAAGCAGCACCCAGTATAGCGAGGAAGATAGTGGTGATTAAAAGGTTATGCTAACTTTAAAGGCTTGGCGACAGCAAAGGGCTGTAGTACCCCCAAGGTTCATATGATAGCTATATCTGGGGAGATTGGAAGACTCCAGAAGGGGATTCTGAGGGTTAAGTTAGGGTTTTGCCAGATGAAAAGGGGTCCAAGGCATTCTTTGCAATGGAATGTGACATTAGTGAGGGTTCCTAGGCAAACTTCTCTGTGCTTCAATTTTCTTCCGTGCAAAAATAGGAAAAATAATACCAACTTTGTATGCCTACTGTGGAGATTAGACGAGAGGGTAATATAAATTGCTCACTGAGTATCGATCTAGCTCATAGGGGGTCTTCTGGAGTATGATGAGTTATTTCTTTTATTTGTTTATTATTTCATACAGACAAGAGCATGGTGAAAGGCATGGCATGGGAACGTGTGGTGTTTTGGGGAAATGGCATAAGGCAAGCGTGGTTGTAGTGGCATGACAGGCAGAATTTTGAGAAATTCAGCTGGAAAGTAGATTGGCACTGGAGTGATTAGAGCCATGAACGCTACCATCTTTTGGGTAAGCTTAGTCTTGCTAGCATTTCAGTTCCATTAGGTGAACCAGCAGTACATTAGATACAAATGCATTGCAGGTACAGCTAGTAATGTGCACCATATTCTGTATTCTTTTGACCTAAATGAATGCATATTGAACGTACATTTTTATAAAATGTCTGGAAAGTCCTTCAGTTAGGTTTCAAATGGGTCAAGGAAAAGAAATCGGAATATAAGTCAATTTGATAAATTCAGAATGTTTTGTCACTTGAAATGTAAAAATCAGCTATTAGGGAATACGGGTTCTTAAGAAAATTGACCTGCTTCCTTTCAGGATTGGCAAGGTGACAACTCAGTTTTGTTTAACATTATATATGCTTTACTTTGCTTTGCTTTACTGTCAAACCAGCAATAAGCAGTGCAAAGAAAAACATGAGTTCAAGGCTGGTGCAGGTGAAGGAATCTCCCTGGTGCCTTTGCTTATTAGAGGCGAGTCCAAAATTTGGTGCTCTTAGCAGCCTGCAGGGAATATGACAACTCCACTGGGTCAGAGGAGCCCCAGACTGCTCTCTGCCCTGTAGGCCTCTTTAGGCTGGTGGAGGTGGGTAAATGCAGAATACATCCGTACTCATAGGTTGCTTGGGTTCCATATTTGTAATTTGTTGTGGAAGCACAGTTAGACAACCAACTTTCTTTAGTCGTTATTTTTTGCATTGTTGTCCAGCCTCCTCAGGGTTTTAGAGCAGCAGTCCCGGTCATGGTTTACAGAGGTCTCTCCTGGTTTCCCGCAGTGGGCTGCCTTTATAGGTCAACTGGTCTCCAGTCATTCTCCTTCCCAGTTTGTTCTTTGCACTGGGGCTGGGGTTATTTTTTCAAGGCCAAGCAAGAATCACATCTCTGTTCAGTTAAAAACCTCTAGTGGTCTCTAATGCCTACAAGCCCTCACAGCTGCAGGCCTTTACAGACCATCCATCTCCCTTCTGCTGCATCTAAGCTTTACCTTTTCTTGCTCTTATGTGTCTGTGTTTTTGCACACGCCTTCTGGAATGACCTCTCCCTTCTCCATACCAACCTTCTCCCAGTCTTGTAGGCTTCTACTCATAATTGTGACCCATTTTAAAGACCATTTTTGTGAACTTTATACCAACTTCTGGTAGAAGTAGAGCAAACAAGCAAATGCATAATTCAAGTTATTCTTAATGCCCGCTCTACCTCATCATTCACATCTGGCTTATCATCAGGTCTTCCCAAGTGCCTTTGTAGTCTTTCCATTTTTATCCATGTTCTTCTTTACCAACACTGCTCTTGTCCAAGCCTGTATCATGTCTCAGGTGGCCTGTTGCAGAGGTCAGCTAGCTCATCTTCCTACTACATGCTTTTTTTCTTTAAAAAACAGGTTGATTCCTTTCACATTTTTCTCATGTTTTAAAGAATACATTCTTTAATTCCATATATTTTATGGCATGTGAATTCTATCTCAATAAGGCTATATATTTAGATAGATGTATATATTTTAAAATTTTATTGAGATTAATTCACATATAAAATTAAAAATGTACAATTATTTTTAGCATATTTACAGAGTTGTGCAACCATCACTACAATCTAATTTTAGAACTTTTTTTTTTTTGCGGTACGCGGGCTTCTCACTGTTGTGGCACCTCCCGTTGCGGAGCACAGGCTCTGGACGCGCAGGCTCAGCGGCCATGGCCCACGGGCCCAGCCGCCCCGCGGCATGTGGGATCCTCCCGGACCGGCGCACGAACCTGTGTCCCCTGCATCGGAAGGCGGACTCTCAACCACTGCGCCACCAGGGAAGCCCCCATTCTTTTGCTTTGGATATCCAGTGTACCAGTGCTATTGATGAGACCTATAGTTCACCATAGAATTGTGTTGGCATGCTTGTTGAAAATTAATTGACTGTAAACATAGAGTTTGTTTCTGTACTTTCAGTTGTATTCCATTTATCTACATGTCTATCTTTATGTCAGTACCATTTCTGAAGAATTTATACCAGAATTTCTAAAGAATTCTCAGTTTTTTCAAGGAAGTCAAGTCAACTGGTATTTTGATAGGAATTGCATTGAATAGGTAGATCAATTTGGGGAATATTGCCTTTTTAACAATATAAAACTTAACATTCCATGAACATGGAATATCTTTTCATTCAGCAGTATTTTGTAGTTTTCATTGTATAAGTCTTAAACTTAAATTTTTGTTAACTTTACTTCTAGCTAGTTCATTCTTTTTGGATACTATTGTAAATGGAATTGTTTTCTTAGTTTTGTTTTCAAATTGTTCATTGCTAGCGTACAGAAATACAATTGTTTTTGTATGTTGATCTTGTATCATGCAACTTTCCTGAACTTGATGATTTTTTCTCATAGGTTTTTAGTGGGTTTCTTAATATTTTCTATATACAGGATCCATGTCATCTGCACACAGAAGAAATTTTACTTATTCTTTTCCAATCTGGATGCCTTTTATTTCTTTCTCTTCTGTAATCTCCCCCTTTGGACCCTCTGTTACAGTGTAGACTAAAAGTTTCAAGAACAGACATCCTAATCTTTTTCCTGATCTGAGGGGAAGGCGTTCAGTCTTTTACCATTAAGTATGATGTTAGCTATGGGTTTTTTGGTAGATGTCCTTTATCAGGTTGAAGAAGCCTCTGATTATTCATAGTTCAAGTGTTTTTATCTGGTTGAATTTTGTCAAATTCTTTTTCTGCATCTATTGAGATGATTGTATGCCTTTTTGTGTTGAGCCTGTTGATGTGATGTGTTACATTAATTGATTTTCAAATATTGAACCAGTCTTTCACACCTGGAATAAATCCCACTTGATTTTGGGGTGTAATTATTTTTATACATTGCTGGATTTGATTTACTAACATTTTGTTGAGGATTTTTGCATTTATGTTTATGAGAAATAGTGGTCTTTAGTTTTCCGTTCCTGTGATGTCTTTGTCTGTTTTTGGTATACGGGTAATGCTGACTTAATAAAATGAGCTAGGAAGTGCCCTATCTGCTTCTGTTTTCTGGAAGAGATTGTAGAGAAATTGCATCATTTTTTTCTTTGAATGTTTTAGTAGAATTCACTGGTGAAACCATCTGCATCTGATGCTTCCTTATTTAGAAGCTTATTAATTACTGATTCAGTTTCTTTAATATCAATAGATTTAGCCTATTCAGCTTATCTATTTCTTGTCCTGTTAGCTTGTGCCTTTCAAGGAATTGGTTTATTTCATGTAAGTTAGCAAATTTGTTGGCATATAGTCGTTCATAATATTTCTTTATTATGCTTGTGGTATCAGTGGGATTCAGTAGTGATGAATTTCTGATGTTAGTAATTGATATTCTCTTTCATTTCTGATATTAGTAATTTGTTTTCTCTCTTTTTTTTTCACGGCTAACCTGGCTAGAGGCTTATCAATTTACTGATCTTTTTAATAAAGAACTAACTTTTGATTTGATTGATTTTTCTTTACTGATTTTCTACTTTTAATTTCATTGATTTCTGCTGATTTTTACTTTTCTTCCCACTTATTTTAATTTAATTTGTTGTTTGTTTTCTAGTTTCTTAAGGTGGAAGCTTAGATTACCAATTGTAGATGTTTCTTA